TTTTTTTTTTTTGTTCTCTTCCAACTCTAAGCCTATTTAATCTACAATTCGCAAGTTTTATCCTCTGCTCCTACACACCTGAGGCTTTCGGAACATGTCATGCACGGATTCCAGTTTGGTATTTGTGTTTGCATGCGCCTCCGCCAGGGTTTTGATCAGCACATCGTTGATATCGCCATCCGCTAGGGAAACATGACAGAAATTGAAGGAGATTAGCGAGGGCTCTTTAGATAGCAAACACCCAATAGGCCATACCATGACTAATAAATTCGGGATCGATCATTGTACTGCGCGGTTCGTATGTGGTGCTGTCCACATAATCGGCCGATATATCGTATTGCATTGTCTGCTGTGGCGTCACCGATGCCGAATAGCCGTAGGGACTGCCGTAGCCGACCTCGTTGTTTGAGTAGCCGCCGCTGTAGCTGTTTAAGTAGGGTAAATACCCATAGATACATATTAGAGAGATACGAAATTTGCGAAATCAATATGAGATATGCATCGATTACCGCACCTGTTGTAATTAGTGTGCTGCAGCTGATCGCTGCTCGAGGGCGTCTGTGTGTCATAGACCGAACTATCGGGTGCCGCATCGCTCTGCGCTCGCATCTGCGCCCGATGGAAGCGCACCTCATCCTCGACCTTCTCGCGTTGTTTCTTGGACATTCTGCCGAATTTTACAGCTAGAAAAATAATGGAGAAGAGAAAGGAAAAGAATGGAAATTATGTAGATTTCAAATATAATCGACAATAACAGAATTTCGCTAGTGATTTGTGTGATATTTAGAATGTTCTTTGTCTGTGGCCTGCCTGCACATCATACCATCACGACTCATTCCCAATTTTAGGCACTTTTGCAGTCTACAGTATTGACAGCGATTCCGATTGACGCGATCCACCACGCATTGCTTGTTGCGCGGACACTGATAGTTCACCACGGAGCTCTGCGATCGCCGGAAGAAGCCCTTGCAGCCCTCACAGGTGATAACGCCGTAGTGCACGCCCGATGATTTGTCCCCACAGACTTTGCATGGAATTATTTCAATTTGAGCTGCAAGCAGAAAGAATTTACAAAGTGATTATTAGTTATGAATTTTTCAACATTTATTTGTATAGATCTAGTTAGATATTTGAGATATTCTTCAAAATTTAATTTTTTCAATAAATTCACTTAAAATGTATTCAATTTTTAGCTAATTATTTTCATTAATTTTATAGAGAGATTTGATTCTTCTTGGGTGGTTGAGCATATTGATTTAATTCTATATAAATTAAGGCTAATTATTAATAATTAATATTTTAATATATCTACGTTGAGACAACATTAAT